AACTAATGCAAAGAATTTATTTAGCTTCTCTGCAATGGCCTTGTCTTCCTTGAGTGCCCTTTTAGCATCTTGATCATCCAGTGGCCCCCCTGATTGTTTGGCAGGCTTCCCAGTTCTGACGTACTTAAAAATGTTTTGCTGTCAGTTTTTGTGGCTTTAGGTAGTTGCTCTTTAAATTCTTTCTTGGCCTGCCTTATTATACTTTTATTTTTGACTTTCCAGAGTTTATGCTCCTTTCTATTTTCCTCAGTTAGATTTGACTTCAAATATTTTAAAGCTGTCTTTTTGTCTCTAACTGCTTCTTTTACTCTGTTGTTTAGCCATGGTGACTTTTTTTGTTCCTCTTACTGTTTTTTTTTAAATGTAGGATATGCATTTAGTTTGAGCCTCTATTATGTTGTTTTTAAATATTCTCCTTGCAGTTTGCAGGCATTTAACCTGTGTGAGTGTTCCTTTTAATTTGTTTCCACATTTTTGCTTAGTTCCTCTTTTTGAAGATAAATGCTACTGTGGCGGGTGTTCTTGGCATGTTTCCCCTTACAACGATGTTAAATTTAATTACATTAACTTCTCTGCAACGGCCTTGTCTTCCTCTCATTATTATCATTATTATCGAGTGGTTCAGATGGGACCTGTCTCTCCTCAGTCTGGTGTGTGATCCCACTTTTCCATTGAGGGGTGACCAAATAGTATACTCTCCCCTGGCTGAAGTCTAAATTTTATCTGTCTTTCGTAGTCTTTGTTTATGCTGCCCCTTTAGGTTTTCTATATTAAGTGTTTAATAAAACATGTATATATGATCTAGCATGATTTTCCTACAGTCACCACTCATTCTCCCCTTTCTGTCCCTCTTTACCCCCCCCCCTTTTCTCTGTATTTTGGTTCTAAAGAGTCCCCCATCTGAGCTTGTCAAGCCCAGTCAGAACTAGAATTTAAATGAGACAGCCAGCTTGAGCAGCTGTTGCTAAAAGTTCTGTGAAAATCTCTGTAGAAATCTCTATAACCACAAAATTAGGCATGCTTCAGAATAGATTGTAAACTGAATTTTTTCTTCTCATCATTATAAACTACTTGTAAAAGATTGATCCCCATCTACTCACTCTTTTTGTTTTAGAGTGGATAGCAAGCATAATTTCCCTTTAAAGATAATATTGGGTCCTTGGCATTTGAAATGAATGGAAATACACACTTTTAAAAATGTAAGCTACAATAGAATGCACAACCCCTCTTCCCCCACTTTAAAAGAATGTTAAGGTTACAAAGTCAAACACTCAAAGGTTAGGGAATGTCAGAGTTAAGGCTGCCTGGGCAATTAATTTTCCTTCCTTGTGCATATGCATTACAATACCATGTTTAATTATGAGCTCACATAATTTTTCCACAGGACCATTCCCCCTAACTCCCCTGGCTCTTCAACTGATATCAATCTCTTCTACAGTTTCCATTCCCATGTCCCAACCTCCTTCCCAGTTTCCCCACCCTGCTCCCAGTCCCAGTCTCCTTGCCTAATCAATCCCAATATCTCCTACACCCCAGCTTCAAATCCTACTTTCTCCTCCAAGCTTCTTGTTCCAATCTACTCCCGCAGCCCCCTTTCCCCTATTGTCTCCATTGCATTCAAGTCAAGGGGTTTTCTCCTCCTCACGGCCTGGGAGCCAGAAAAGCTATTGAGAGTACAGGAGAGACAGCTTCTCTGCTCTCCGTTTCTGCTGCCTGGTGCCACAGTGATGCACAGCAGCCAGGAGGAGCACCTGTAGGAACAGCCCTACTCAGGTACTGCAGCCTGAGGCTGAAGCATACTCAGTACAGATGGAATTTTTGGAAAATTTAGCGGCCAAATGCTAACAAATCTTTACTGAGCCTGTGAGAATTGACATTTTTAGAGGCTTATAAGTTATAACTTGGTCAAACTTGGGCAGTTTTTCACAGGAACAGCAAAGGAACATCCCTGACACCAGAGCAATTCTCTTGTTAATTTCAAGTTTCCGTTCCAAGGAATGGTGGTACTAGAGGTTTTCAATGAAAAGGTTGTATAGATTTTTGTAACATGGTCTAAACAACATATTTTCCCATAATCTTGCTTTTGGAAATGGCTGAACCTTTTTTGGTGAAACTTTCCAAAAATATTCAACCCAAGGCAGATAATCAGCATGGGAAATTGCCAAATTGTAACCATTCAGGCTGAAAAGTTACAGACAACTGAAAATAGAGTCTAAGCATGGGAAGTATTGGGCAATCAAATCTAGAGAGAGCTATCGGCTCTGTGTATAACAGAGAATATTTTCTCTAATGGATGACCTGCATCGATGAATGGATTGTTTACATCTAATTTTTTTGGGTACAAGAAATGTTTGTAGCACCCCCTCTCCACCCTGTTACCTTCTTTAATGCCAATCTGCTTACAGGTATTGATGGACAGGTCTGGATTCTTCTGGATCCCACCACCCACTCAGCAGGGTGTATCTTCTTTATTTTTTCGTATGAATTTATTTGGCGGTGCCTCCACCCCCCTCACTCCTTCCTGGCAGGGTCAGCAGGGCAGCTTAGGAGGAAAATTCTAACCACGGGGTAATCCCCACTTACTTGCCAGATAGTTGGAGACTTCCAAGAAATAACACAAACACATACAATCTATTCAACACAATAATTATATTGAACAGGAGACAAATATAACATAACAGAGTAAAACACTATTTTTATGGTCAACAGTGCCCATGCTGATAATACCCATGACTTTCCCCAGTCACATGATCTGATGTAGCAGATATAAGATTAGTGTTCTGTTGGTACGTGTACTTTGTTGGGGTCCTTGATGATCTATGACCACAAAATTCTTCTCTGCAGTAGTTTAGCAGTGTGGCTGACTGGGTTCAGTACTGCCCAAAGGACTCACAAGTAGGTGAGGTGGTAAGTCCCTCCACAGGTTTAATATGCAGCAGGTTATAAAATCCCCAAACTCTTACTCCCTGGCTTGAGGACACAGTTCAGGGAGTAGGGGTCCCCAAAACAAGTTCCCTGACTGACTAAAAGATGGTGCACTCACAAACTCCATGAATGATCCTCAGGTTCAGAGATGACTCTGGACTCCTCAGTCACTGCAGAGGGGCTGATCTCTGCTGGCAGGGATCCTCTTCAGGCAGGAATCAGGTTGCTTTGGTCCCAGGATTTCCCCTCACCACAGAGGGGTGCAGGGCTCAAGATGCAGATTACACAACTGTACAAAAATCCGAACTGTAGTCTCCTAGCCCGGTGTCCAGACACACACTGTAGGTAGCAGCCCTGGACTAGCAGACAGAGCAGAGCTGACCATGTGATGACTGGTCTCACCTAGGTAGCTGGAGGGCTAACTCAGCCTGACTGGGGAAGTTTCAGAAAAATCTCTACAAACTGGAAATCATCAGTGGAGAAGGAAAAACCCAGCTGAGGGATCTTGCTTTCAGGTCCCTAGAGGCCAGTTCTCAGGGGGAACCCTGCATGCAGGCCTGGGACTCACACAGCCAGTTCTGCCCTTGCCCTGGCTGGCTCCAGACTCACTCAAAAATGGCTTCTCCCCTTTCCTGAACTCCCTGGGAAGGGCATCTCACTCCCTATTGGTTGCGGGGCAGTCTCTGAGTCTGCCTTGGCTCCCCCTCCCTACCATGGACAGTGTGCCTGTCCCTGAACTGCCAGCAGACAGAGCCCCAGGAATCTAGGTAATCTCCTTGAGGGTTACACGTTGATGACTTATTCAGAGGATATAGCCAATATTCTTAGCAGCATGTGTGAACCACAGCCTTAAACCCCATTAGGATCAGCTCAACCTGTCCTACCTCTTTCAGAGATTGAGAACCATGGGGGTGGAGGTGTCTTTGACATTGGATTTTTGATATCCACACTAAGCAGGCAGGACTTTAGTTTTCAAGGCATAGTGTCACTTTTTTAATGAATCATGGTTACCCTGATGCCCTTGATGAACAGCTCCCCTGCCACCAGATTTTTGTTCATCATGCAGTGTAAGGGTTGGTTATCACTCTCCACCTCAGGGATTGCTTCAGTTTAATGTTTCATGTGTATTAGTCTGTGAATCACTTTGGGAGCCTTTGTAATTAATTGTGCTATACAGTGTAAAAGTACAATGTAAAATGTATGATTGATTATGATGATTGTTTATTAGTAGGGCCCTACCAAATTCATGGTTCATTTTGGTCAATTTCACAATCATAGGATTTTAAAAATAGTAAATTTCATGATTTCAGCAATTTAAATCTGAAATTTCATGGTGTCATAATTGTAGGGGTCCTGACGCAAAAAGAAGTTGTGTGTGGATGGGAGGGTGTCGCAAGGTTATTGTAGGGGGGTTACAGTACTGCTACCCTTACTTTTGTGCTGCTGCTAGTGGTGACGCTGCCTTCAGATCTGGGCAGCTGGAGAGCAGCGGCTGCTGGTCGGGACCCAAGCTCTGAAGGCAGAGCCGCTGCCAGCAGCAGTGCAGAAGTAAGGATGGCAATACACCATACCATGCCACCCTTACTCCTGCGCTGCTTCCTGCAGAGCTGGGCCCTCAGTCAGCAGCCGCCACTCTCTGGCTGCCCAGATCTGAAGGCAGCAGCACAGACGTAAGGGTGACATGGTATGGTATTGCCAACCTTACTGCTGCGCTGCTGCTGGCGGGGCACTGCCTTCAGAGCTGGGTGCCCAGCCAACAGCTGCTGCTCTCCAGCCGCCCAGCTCTGAAGGCAGCACAGAAGTAAGGCTGGCAATATTGTGACCCCCTAAAATAACCTTGAGACGCCCCCCCTGCAACTCCCTTTTGGGTCAGGACCCACAGTTTGAGAAATGCTCCCCTGTGAAATCTGTATAGTATAGGGTAAAAGCACACAAAAGACCAGATTTCATGGGGGGGAGTCCAGATTTCACAGTCCATGATGCATTTTTAATGGCCATGAATTTGGTAGGGCCCTACTTATTAATGTAAAGTACTTTATGGTTCTGATTTCCTTTTTCTTTCCTTTTCTTTGCAGTTCATTGCTTTTGCCTCTTTATTCTTCATCCTAGTTTCAATTACAACCTTTTGTTTGGAAACCCATGAGGCTTTCAATACTATTATAAACAAAACCGAGCATGCCATCAATGGCACAGAGGTGGTTCTACAGTATGAAATTGAGACAGATCCTGCTCTGACGTATGTGGAAGGAGTCTGCGTGGTGTGGTTTACATTTGAATTTTTAGTCCGTGTTGTTTTTTCACCCAATAAACTTGAATTCATCAAAAATCTCTTGAATATCATTGACTTTGTGGCCATTCTGCCCTTTTACCTAGAGGTGGGCCTGAGTGGGCTCTCCTCCAAAGCTGCTAAGGATGTGCTTGGCTTCCTCAGGGTGGTGAGGTTTGTGAGAATCCTGCGAATCTTCAAACTCACCCGGCACTTTGTAGGCCTCAGAGTGCTGGGCCACACACTCCGAGCTAGCACCAATGAGTTTTTGCTGCTGATAATATTCCTGGCACTAGGTGTGTTGATATTTGCCACCATGATCTACTATGCTGAGCGAGTAGGGGCCCAGCCCAATGACCCATCTGCTAGTGAGCACACACAGTTCAAAAATATCCCCATTGGCTTCTGGTGGGCTGTGGTCACCATGACTACCCTTGGGTATGGGGACATGTATCCTCAGACTTGGTCAGGCATGTTAGTGGGTGCTCTGTGTGCTCTCGCTGGGGTGCTGACTATAGCCATGCCCGTGCCTGTCATTGTCAACAATTTTGGAATGTACTACTCCCTGGCAATGGCGAAGCAGAAACTTCCAAGAAAGAGGAAGAAGCACATCCCTCCTGCTCCTCAGGTGAGCTCCCCTACCTTTTGCAAGACAGACTTGAATATGGCCTGCAATAGCACACAGGGAGATGTCTGCCTCGGCAAAGACAACCGGTTGATGGAACACAACAGATCAGGTAGGACACAATCTCAAATGCATGTCCTCTAAATACTTTATAGACCAGTATGTTTGGTAGGTGTCAGAAAGCATTAAATCTTTCTGCAACTAAAAGATGTAGTTCCCTCCCCTCTCCCTTCACTCCAGTGTTTGCGTGTGTCAGTCTTGTAGATGGCAACATAGTTACAATGACATTCCCAGGTCTGTGCATAGCTGGTCTATACAGTTTGCTTGCTATGTTGTGAATGCTTTTCTGCTGATGACATCGATCATTTATTTTGCTTGTTGTTTGTTTCATTGTACTGATGTTCTTTTGTTTTCCTGCATGATTGTGACTATCTGAACAGCTACTGTGTTCCACACCGTTGAACTCCATGCTGTTGTGCTGGGTGTTTGTCTCTTGTGTCAGCTTTGCCTATGGCATATAGTGGCATATTATGTAAGATGCAATACAAGAGGAAGTCATTAAAAGAAACAGGTGCTTTACCTTGTAAAGGATAGCACTCAATGGAAGAATATAGAAAGCTGGCTTCTAGCTTTCAGCTTTCTTTCCATTCAACACTCCAATTCCCTGGCAAGAAGTACTTCCCACATCTGTGTTATATGGGACATCACATTGTGTTTTTACTGTTATTTTGATAATATGACCGATATTAAGTTAAAGTAAAGCTTCTTGGGAAAAACTGAAAATGGCAATCATCAGCACCACTCTAGATGTCATTTCCCAGCACACACTGAATATCTTTTGAGATTAAAGAACAAAGTTAAGTAGCATTTAGTTTAATTACTATAGATTTGCAGTCACAAGTAGGACCGGTCAGAAAGCAAGAATTCTGTTTTGCACAAAAGTTTGAGCCCTAGCCACTGGGTTTTAGAGTTAGTCTCTCTCTCTCGCTCTCAATCTCTCTTGTTGGAGCTGTTCCACTTTGTACAAATAATGAAATATTCATTGGGAAAAATAAAGAGATTGACTCTGTAGCCTGATGGTTAAAGCACTCACATGGCATGTAGGAGACCCAGCTTCAAGTTCCTGATCCAAATTAGGCAGAGCAGGGACTTGAACCAGGATCACCTATATTCCCTGCAAGTGCCCTAACTACATGGCTATTGAGTATTCTGGAATTGGGCTCTTTCCAGAAATTCCATCGTGGACCTGAAAAACATTCCAGATGAAAGTTTAGTTGAAATGGACAAATTTCTGAAAAAGTTTAGTTTTCAATGAATCATCATTTTCTGGCAGGAAAAAAAAAATCTCAAAAAAATCCTGACCAGTTCTAGTCACCAGGCATTTTTTTCAAATCTGTTAACTCTTATGCTGAACATGGCTTTATTGCAAAGCTGCCATATAAATCATTAGGCTCCTTTTGTAAAGTCAATAAGTAATAATAATGCAAAAACATGCCTTTCAGTGTTGGAGTAGCTGGATTTTGCTCTTTAGAGGGAAGAAGCTGAAAATTGTGACTGTGAAAAGTATCTTAATTCAGTTCTGACATTACACCACTGCTTAGTCTTAGGTTAAAAGAAGATCAATTAAAGAGAGAGTTCTGAGAACTCTGAGAGAGTTCTCAAGCAAAGGTAACACAGATTTTTTTAAAATTCTAAAGATATCAAAAAAGGGAGAGAAACTTTCAGATGACTGTGTGTTGTGGGTGGAATATAGTTAGTTTTACAGTGCTTGACTGATACACATTCTCAGACAGCCTCTTCAAAGTGTTAATGACAACAGCTTTTCTGTGTCATCAAGTCCTGCTAAAGGCATTCCAGAAGAGAGGAGGCTCTGTGTGACAGCGCAAAGAGATAGTTCTAGTGAGTCTGCAGATTTATTTACAAGGTGTTATAATCCTTGAGGTTAGAGAAAAAAATCTTAAAGTCATCTACTTCTGGGGTTTTTTTCTCGCTCTCTCTGATAGCGCCACCATTTGTGCTCTGTTTCTAACTTAATTTCTTGTGTAGTTATTGGGATTGTTGGGCATAACTTCAAGGTAGAATATTGCTATTTGTGGCCCCAATTCAGGAAAACACGTAAGCACATGGTTAAATGCTTTCCTTAATAGGGATGGTTTCTTGAATTGGGTCCTGAAATTACATATTTCTTGTTTAAAAAAAGGGTCTTTTGGGAAAATAAAAGTGGGCGATGTAGAGATTCTATTGCGTGCTGAATCTTAACCACACTGACTAAGGACCGCATTTAGCCCTCAGGCATATATGATTGATTTCAATGGGAGTTACATTTAATGTTAATTGTGCATTTCAGAGCAGGCATTGGCCCTAAACATTTATAATTTAATTCCTATATCAAAAGTTCTTTTAAAAACTATTCTACAGCAAAATGATCAACATAACTTAATTTTTAATAAAGAAGATAGTCAAAGAGATTAACACAATATTAAAACAATTAAGACAGACTACTGTTGGAAAGGTTAGCGTCTATAAAGGCACATAATTCAGTAGAATAGTCTTTTATCTGATGGCATTTTATTTTATGTTAAGCTAGCCGAACATTAGGAGATATCGCAAATAGAGCTGGGATATTCAAAAGATGATTTGTTCTTGAATAAAACATTTACTTTTGCCCTTTTGCTGAATTTTGTAGTGATTAATGATGAACTGCAATCTTTTTCTTTATTCTTATCATGACATTATTACTGTTTTTTGTACTTGAGTGATGGGAATATCCGGCATTCAACATAAGCTCTTTGTGATGTCTCATTTCCTCATTCATTGTTGTCTGTAAATGGGCATGGTGCTTTAACCAGTGTTATCAGGTGAAGACAGTGCTGGAAGTGAGCAGCCACTCTCACCTGGGGAAAGGCACCCACCAATCAGACGCTCTAGTACCAGAGACAAAAACAGAAGAGGGGGAACATGTTTCCTACTGACAACAGGTGATTACACGTGTGCTACTGATGGAGGGATCAGGAAAGGTATGGACTTCTTTCATTAGATTGTAAAAAGTCACTCAGCAATGTTCTTATGAAAAGCAAGTTTCAAGTAAAATAAGATGTGAACAACTGCACTATTAGGAAAGATTGTAAATCAGTTCAATGCTTTTTCTTTCTTTCTTTCTTTCTTTCTTTCTTTCTTTCTTTCTTTCTTTCTTTCTTTCTTTCTTTCTTTCTTTCTTTCTTTCTTTCTTC